CTTAAAAATTGTTGAACACTTTCGAGAGAGCAAGTACCAGCAGAGTCAGGAAGAAAAATAAGCATATAATCACTCATATTTTCGGTCACTGATATAGATGAATGAGAGCAAAACAAAAGGGTGAATGGAAGCAGAGTCATTAAATCTTATTAAGATCTTAAACGATAAGATCGTAGATTATCTTATCAAGAGTCTAGAAAATTAGTTTTTGTTCACTTTTTGAAAGGTGACAACAACAAGGAAAACGCTCGGTTATGCCACAAAGAGGCGAAACATTAATCAGTTGATGATTCAGTGGCGGAAAAATTTTTTACTTACACCCCGATCCTCTGTTCCTTTTGATTATAACTGGGCAACGAAAAAGGCTTTTGACAAGCGGTTTGCATCAAAATATTCTCTACTCTCTCTAGTGTATTTGCAGATCAAAAATGTTAGAAATATTTATTGTTGCTCTTTGTAGGCCCATTATATTGAATAGCGAACTGCTTCAGGTCAGCAAAAGTTTTCATTATAGTGGATAAAAATCCTTTTTTACATTGTATAGGTACGGACTAAATATGAAAACTACATCAGTCAATAGTACAGAGCGCGAGCTACATTTTAGTGAAAAAACAATTTTGAAAAGCCTTTTCCTTCGGGCGAAAACGCGACTTTAAGCCAAAACTGCCATACTCTTCAGTGTGACTGCTGAATCTCAGAAATGAGTGTGTGAAAAAAAGTCTGAGGAAGCCACTCGAAAGCGCGTGCAAAAATGAGTAAGATAAATATAGTGTAGAAGTTAAGTGAAGGAATTCAACACATCTTTTCATGTTTTGGATCTTAGGGTATTTTTGAAATATCTTTTCTGCACGGGAGGGTAAAGATCTTCTGGATGTCTTTGCGAGATCTTGTAGACAAGTAGTTACTGTATAAGGGTATGAAAAGAGAAATTTGGACCTGTTAAGTTCCCAGGGAGAAACGGGCTTCTGAACATTATAAAAAACATGTTTCATCAAAAAATAACGTCATATTCGTGCTCAACATCAAAAACTGCGCTTAGTAATCGGTCACTCGAAGTTTAGCAAAACGTTCCTATACTCAAAAATTTTCTTTGGCAAAAATGCTTCTGTTTCCCGTCAGGTGTTTAGTAAGTGAAACGTTTCTAGGCTTTATTTTTAGATAAAAGTAAAAGGTTTGGTAAACTTCGAGTGACACATCACTAAATGCAGTTTTCGATGCTGCCGCCACTGTACTCCAGGATTCCAATATTTGATTCATTTTCTTGCCGGGTTCTGTGTCGTAGTTAGAACTAGAAAAACGTATACAGTTACCTTCATAAATTTCTAGAAAAACGAAGGTATTTTCTGTTGTGTTTTCAGACCAAAAATCCTTCACTTCGTGCACCAACAATAAAACATTCCGAATTGAAACGGAAAAATCGGCTAAACACTATAAGAGATATTCCAGACAGAACTAACTCGTGGTTCGCGATAAATGTCTTTCAAAAGAATTATGCATAAGATGAAATATCCCATTCATCATGCCTTCAGAGGCTTCTATGAAATTTGTTTACCGCTGTTGTACTTCGCATCATACCTCCATCTATTCGTATATCTCTCAATTTCTCAATGGTTTCATCCATTCGCCGTCATATCTGCCTCCAGTCGCATATATGACAACTCCTCGACCGTATTGTTTCCCATCCTGCCATTCGCCCTCTTACGTGTTCCCATTCTCATATGTGAGAACTCCTCGACCGTGTCGTTTGTCATCTTTGTACTCGCCTTCGTACCGACAGATGCGCAAATAAATAATGAAAACAGAGTACGTGAAAATCATCCGTGTAATATCGAAATTGGAGATCGAATAAATGAATTAAACGATCAGAAGGAGATTCTATTTCAAAAAGATAATATACAGATTAATAAACATGTTTTATATGGTCAACTTGAAACACAACAAAATGGCCAATTAATAATAACTATTAATAATAGACAAAATAATAACTCGTGTATACTATGATATCGCATTAGATCAGTTTGTTTATCAACACATCATTTATTTGATGATATATTTAAAATGTTTTATTAAAAATATTCTAATCAATCAATTCAAATTCGAGAAAATGAATTAAGTCAATTATATGATCGAGTCTTTGTATTTATTGGTAGTCTTTTAAATGATAGTTTAAGTTTACGTGATAATACTGATTTAAGAGTTGTTTTTTGCGATAAAAATATTAATATTCTAGAAGAAGTTAATAAGTTATATACTAATCGTTCTGCTACTAAAATATCTGAAATTTGATATTTTATCAATTGATAATGAGTAATTCAAGCTTATAAAATTTTACAACAACGATTTCTGCTAGAAAAGAGTTATCAATCTGTTACATTAAACTTTTGCTTTTGACCAACAGCCTCTGATGATCAAAATCGAAAAACGATTCTTTCTAAAACCTTCGGTTTTTCGCTCTAGAAAACCTTGTATATATCGCCATACCATTTTGAAATTTTATGGTCACGAGTAGAAAGAGCGACCATAACTGTGTCTCTGGTTAACTTTTCAGTGTCATCGGACGATATTTTGAGGAACTATGCATGTTCGACTTTTGACGAATTCACGGATCCCTGGTACTTTCTAAACAAAGAGTTGCTATTGTACTCAAGAAAGTCAACGGTATATATATATATGTAGAATACAACGTCCACGACGGGCGTAGAATTTTGTCGCTTGTACGGTATACAGATTCACTGATTAGTACAGACAGAGAGAGACGTCTGTAGCATTTCTCCTGTCTTCTCTTTATTCTCTTAGTAGGCCCCTAGCAGTCGAACACAAATTTATCTATATGAAAAAACAAAATTCTACTTTTAATTTTGCATGGTCACATTAGCCATCTAACAAAGATGGAAAATGTAAGAAAATGTCTTTACAATTTACAACTGAAACTAAACAGGTGAAGAAGCACACCAAAAAAACTGCAAAAGTATACATTACAGTTAATCAATCATCAATAGTTCGAATAAACTTCCACTGTTAGCTACTGAACAGAACAAACAAAATATAATCTTCCACGTAAAATGAGCCAATAGAGGTATATCATTAAAAATTATATCTATAACTCATGAATGCAATTCCCAAACGCGCAATGTATAACCTATCCGAAGACAATTAGCTCCTATTCAGAGAAGAGAATAGAGTTCAACAAGAAAATTATCACTTCCTTCCAGACTTCGTGTTTGAGCACCACCATCTTATTGGTTTGGGAGATGATAAATCCAAGTTTCCACATTCCGTTCTTACTCCAAGGTTTTATTATTTATTATTTTTCAACACAAATTACATTAAAAAGAAAAAAATTCAATTTAGACAGCCAAAATGTTTTTTAAATAATCCACCCCTTATTTTTTCTTGAGAACCAAACGCGGACCGAGCCATTCTGCATTGTTAAAATAAATTGGATTGTGTGGGTCATATGTTGCGTCATATGTTGTTTTAGAACCCGTATCAGGTGTAAATACTATTTCAGTCGCGTCTTTCATGTCTAGTTCTGACGGATATGGTCTATCACAGTAATCGATGTGTGTTTCATCTGCATGAAGTGTACCTCTACCAACCGCCGTTTTTTTACCACCTTTGAAGTGAACTTCAATTTTACCGAGTTTATCTTCCTTAGTTTCAGGACACTTCTTTTTGCTTTTCCCAGCACTTGAAAAATCTAAACAAATATATATAAACAAATCACACCAACATTCCTCGATAGCAAGCAAGTGTGGCACTCAGACTAGGTTGTTTTAATATTCCACGAAAATAATCTGGACGTCGCAGATTTCCACATTCGCAAAAACCTTCTTGAAGTCACGATGAAGTCTTTACAGATACAGACTAATGCTGGGATTCAAAACAAAAATTTGAATAAATCAGTGCCTCCGAAATCATTGCATTCCACTTACCAAGTGTTACTAATACAAGTACAACTATTGTTATTATTGCACAAAATTTCATTTTCTCGACAACTGTAATGTTTGATGCAATAGAGACAAATTTTAAAATATGAAATGGATAGTGTTTATAGAAGGTCAACGGTATATATATATGTAGAATACAGCGTCCACGACGGGCGTAGAATTTTCTCGCCTGTACGGTATACAGATTCACTGATTAGTACAGGCAGAGAGAGACGTCTGTAGCACTCATTTCTCCTGTCATCTCTTTATTCTCTTAGTCGCCCCTAGCAGTCGAACACAAATTTATCTATATGAAAAAACAAAATTCTACTTTTAATTTTGCATAGTCACATTAGCTATCTAACAAAGATGGAAAATGTAAGAAAATGTGTTTAAAGTTTGTTACAATTTACATTCTTTCTTAGGTGACCAGAAGAAAAGGCGAACACGAAAAAACGACGTACCTACTTTTAACTTTCCGTTTCATACACTGGTCGACGTTCTTGTGGATATTCTTGCCCCTTCAGACAAAGACGACTCAGAATGATTTATTCGTTGAGAATGCTCCATCGAGGTTAGATGTTATATGTTCGAGGAGCGCATACCGATTTAGAATACGTTGTGCAGATCGTGAGAAAAAAGTCTTATATCATTTCAGTACATCGAGGGCGTAGATAGATAAACGTATATATATAATATAAATAGATTCACCGATTAGTACAGACAGACAGAGACGTCTGTAGGTATAAAACACTAAGTTAGGCGTAATAAACTTGATTACTTGAGAAATTTTCTAAATGTTTGGAGCTGAGTAACTTGACTAAAGTTAAGTATCCTTTATAGGACAGTTTTAATTTCAATTTTGGATAAACTTTTTCTTTGATTTGCTTCATCTTTTTACCTAGACGAATTGTTTCCTTTCCAAAATATGTCAACCTTAGAAACATTTCGTCTTTCTGTTTGAATACGGATGAGGCCAGTGGCGGATCTAGCACTACGACGATCCGACGACCACCGCCCCCTCGCAAATGAAATTCTAGTGCACGTACACTAACAGACTTCCTTAGAAAAAATATTCGTATTACCTCGGATAACATCGTTTAGAAATCGCCACCCCGTCGATGGAATCTTGGATCCGCCACTGGATGAGGCTAAGTTGGACTGCAAAGTGGATTTATTTTGATTTTTCTGATGACTAGGTTCTTTGGATTCTGAAACCCTAGCGACTTTTACTTGCTTTTTTTTTCACCGTCTTGGGTGGTGATGATCTGATGACTCATTCATTACGCTTAGTACTAATACTCGGTAGTCTCTGATGTGTTTCTGAGGGGAAGAAAGGAGAAGAAACGATCATTTTTGAATCAAAAAAAATCCGTTGAGGAACTAAAAACGGCCCATTAACGGCACGTTAACTTACCGTTAACGGTGCCGTTTTCTTGGACCTGGGTTTACATAACTCAATCCTTTTTGACTTTATTAGTACATTGATCTTGCAAGGAGAATTTCTTGATTTTCTTCCGATTGAATAAATTCAATTCAGTGATCCTACTAAAAATTTTCGATTGAATTCAATTCAGTTCGATAATTTTTGAAAAACCATTCCATTCAATTCGACTCCATTTACGAACTGAATTGAGTCGAATTGGTCGTTTTTTAAATTAAGTTGCCCAGCTCTGGTGTACAGCGCCAAACCTTCGAAAACATACATTTTTAATGCAAAAAAAGTGCATGTTTTTGTGTTCACCGATCAAGATTTCCAATGTTTTTGAGAAAGAATCTACTTTCGTTTTGTCGTTTGTCTTTCATCAAGTTTAAGTTCTCAAACGTTGAGCAGGTCGTCAGAAAAAACTTTGATATCATTTCAGTACATCGAGGGCGTACATAGATAAACGTATATGTATAATATATGTGCTAGAGACAAATTTTAAAATATGAAATGGATAGTGTTCGTAGAAGGTCAACGGTATATATATATGTAGAATACAACGTCCACGACGGGCGTAGAATTTTGTCGCTTGTACGGTATACAGATTCACTGATTACTACAGACAGAGAGAGACGTCTGTAGCACACATTTCCCCTGTCTTCTCTTTATTCTCTTAGTAGGCCCCTAGCAGTCGAACACAAATTTATCAATATGAAAAAATAAAATTCTACTTTTTTTTTAATTTTGCATAGTCACATCAGCGATCTAACAAAGATGGAAAATGTAAGAAAATGTATTTACAATTTCTTACAATTTACATTCTTTCTCAGCTGACCAGAACAAAAAGCGAACATAAAAACTTCTGCTTTTAATTTCGACGCAATGGGAATGCTTGTCAGATACATTTTCTCACGTTTACTGTTAGCTATGAAGCAGAGCTTTGTATGAACTACAAATTCTGAGTCGGAGTCCTTAAAAAACTCCATTTTTTCGCCTATCGACTTTAAAAAAGTAGTCAGGTGCACAATGGAAAAACGATATGTATGCTACGATATGTATGCTTC